GATGGCACTCAGTTCTAGCTCGCTCCTCGTACCTCAGTGCCTAGCTCGTCCGCTGCAGCCCCGCCGATCGACCCTTAGGTTTTGGTGTTTGACGCCAAAGGGGGAGAGGGTTCGAGTATGTTAGTCTTAGGGGGAGCGACATATCTAGGGGGAGCTTAGTTAATATATTAGCTTATCTATTTACATTTGGAGTTTTATGTGTGATACACTATTATGCATTCGTTTGTTTACTTTTATGCATTAAACTATATTTATGTGATAGTGATATCTACATGATCGTGATATATGACATGTGTGCTCTCTACTTTGAATTATTTATATGTCATATCACTTGTGCTATGCTCATTTGCTTTTGCTTCTGCGTTTTACTCCGATGCAAATGAGCTTTATTACTTGTACTCATGCTTCTTTTATATCTTTTGAGTACATCATGTTGGCTTGGGTCATATAAGCTTGCCTAACACTTTTGTTCTTATTGCCAAAAGCTTATATGAACCAAGTATGTTTAAAATCTCATCTCTTTCACATACTCGAGGTGGTATTGTCATCAATCACCAAAAAAGGGGAGATTGAAAGCATCTAGGCCCCTAGTTGGGTTTTGGTGATTAATGACAATACGTGATTACTATGACTAACGTGTGTTTTGCAGAGGCAATTAAGTTAGGTCATGGTAATGGAGATCGATTGGGCAATCATGGTGGTCATGCCCCTACGATGAAAATCATTTCGGTTTTCAAAGGATGGACGACAAGGTTAAGGATGGACTAGTTCTAAGTGTCGTTTGGAGTTGAAGAGACACTTAGAGTAGTTTAGGACTTTGTTTTTCCTTTGTTGATACTATTAAGGGGGTATGGATGGGTAGCTTGACCTAGGTGAGTCTAGTGGGTTAGGTGTGGTGCACACTTGCTAAAACTAGCACTAGGTAGCTCCAAAATAGCCCTTAGATCCAATGGAGCAAACTTCATTCACGTATGATCGAGAGTTGGAAGTGAATGGAGGGTCAAATACTGATCGGACGCTGGCTTCGGTGTGACCGGATGCTGGTGCAGAGTCCGGTCAGTTCATTTGACCAAGGTGAAATCGTCTGGCGCGACCGGATGCTGAGAGGTGAAGTGACCGGACGCTGAGAGCAACCGTCCGATCGACTCCAGTAAGGTTCCAGAGAGGGAAAATCATGACCGAACACGTCCGGTCAGTGCTGATAGGAAGCTGGCCAGCGTCTGGTCACACTTTAAACGCTGAAGTTCGGGGTGAACTGACCGGTCACACTTTCAGCTGGTGTTATAAATACCACCTCCATTCATGTGTGGGGATACTTTTGCTCATTCCAACAGCTGAGAAACACCTTTGAGAGTGCCAAGAAGAGCAAGGTCCTAGTGAGGTGATTAAGATTTGAGAATCCCAAAGAGAGCCCTCATTAGTGAGATCAAGAGTAGCAAAGTGTGCATCCACCCTTCTCATTAGGCTTGTCGTGGTCAAGTGAGAGTCCGTGCTTGTTACTCTTGGTGATCGCCATCACCTAGACGGCTTGGTGGTGATTGGGACCTTGGTGATCATCTAGAGAGCTTGTGGATGACCCAACTCAAGTTGTGAGCAGTTGTGGGTGATTCACCATGACGGAGTGTCGAAGAATCAACCCGTAGAGAGCACTTGATCCTTGCGCGGATCAAGGGGGAGCTACACCCTTGCACGGGTGCTCCAACGAGGACTAGTGGGGTGTGGCGACTCTCCGATACCTCGGCAAAACATCGCCACGATCCTCCTTCTCTCTTTACTTTGAGCAATTCAATTCTTGTCATTTACATTCCTATAATTGCCATGTTAGAGTAGGATTGGAATTTAGGTTGCAAAACTTTTGGTTGTTAGATCAATAGAAACACTTTCTAGGCACAAGGGGTTAATTGGGCTAACCATAGAGTTTAATTATTGTAAAGAAATTTCAAATTAGCCCAATTCAACCCCCCCCCCTCTTGGGCATCTTGATCCTTTCACACTAGATAGAGGAGGTCAAGGCAAGCTCATGGATATAAACAATTGAACCAATTCGGACCTTACCCCAATTTCACAGGCACGACGGCGCACCTGGCCGACGGCGAGAAAAACACCAAATTAGCAGCCAGTAGTGCTCGATTGCGCCAAGGTGAGGGTCGGGCTACTAGCTGGCTTTCCTGTCTAACTTCTAGAACGCCAAATTGAGGTGTGGCGCCCCGAACCACACGTATTTGTCGTACGAAGCGGTCAGATTCTGTCAGCGACAAGGACAGGCGGGAGCGGCAGCTCTTCGAGGCTGTGCCTGCTTCGGTCGAGGCTACGATAATGAAGCGAGGCATCCACACAGGGAAGACTCAGAGAGAGAGCATCGTGGAGCGCTGTGATGGGACTGCTCGGCCATGGCGTGATGCGGGTGGCGGCAGTGAAGCAGCGATCACGCGCGGGGCCATCTCGTAGGGCCAGTGCAACAAAACAACATGAGGAAGGGTTGTGACACTACGACACGGCATTAGTGCGACGTGACCACAGAGGCAGGCAGTGGCTCGACGAGTAGGTGATTCATGCGGTGGAAAGAGTGCCACATCGGCTAGACGAAGGCCACCGTGACATCGGCTTGGCCGGCAGCGAGGTGGGGCAGCAGCACGCTAGCCAGCAGCTGCAGGGTGATGATAGTGGCCCGCTGGGGTCGACCACGGCCAGACAGGCCGATCGGGCTCGGTTCCGCGGCGTGTAGAACGCGGCCAGCCGCGCGACGCCGAGTGGCCACGCGAGGTGACCGTTCGCACGGGCCAGGCACATGACGTGCATGAATTTTAAAGCGAAGCAAAAACTACTAACGATCACAAGTGAGGCCCAGCTAATTCCCCTATCCTATAGTCAGCATTACCTGCGACCTACCAAAGCCATCGCCATGGCCAGAGAGCAACCAGAGAGAGGGATAGGAGGATGCCAACCTGAGCTCGTCGCACTAAAAGCCAGTTCACGAACAAAGCGCCACCAACCTGGTTTACAGCGCGTTCCAACGAATTTACGAGAGCCACGTGACACCCAACATAACAACCACCTATGCCATGCTTAAATACTCACTTTGATGCAATCAATAATACCAAAGCATGTAGCTAGTGTTTAAACATTTTAGCTAGAATTTAAATGTCAATATAGCATTGTCTTACTACTTTTCCCATACTTAGAAAAGTTAAGGTTCAATTCGAACTAACAACCATTAACACTTTTGTTATAATTTTTAAAAGGCATAAACCCTATTAACTGCTTCCAGCAAGTATTTCATACAATAGTCCATACCTTATACAAACCTATAGGAACAAAATATTTAAGCACCATTTAACTATTTTGCTCAATATAATTCACCAAAAATGGTATTTTACACAATAGTTCAAGTGTTTGCCGACTTAACAAAAAGAGCTTATCTTAACGTCAAATTTGATTTTTGAGCTCACAAAATCATTGCTCCAACAGATCCCCAATCCCACTCCCATTTATTGGTGGCCACGAAAAAACAGTCCAACTCCCCTCAAATAGAGGGGGAGATGCACCTCCCCCAAAAGGCTCACCCGCATTCCAACCGCCGGAAGTTTCCTTCCCGCGCGCATGCTGATCTTCCTCTCCAGCTCGTGCCATGAACGGCAGGGTGCTCCAGCTCGCACCGGTGGCCGGTGGAAGTCGTATCTACTCAAGCTTCCAGCCAGATCCACACCAAGAAGCCCCGTCCAGATCCGCACAGGGGCCGTACGGACGCGGAGCAGATTCGTGCAGATGCCGGACGCGAGATCTATGCGGGCGCCGGCCGCCGCCGGGTTGCGAGCTGCGTGTCTGCACTGCCTGCCTCTAGACCCCGTGTGCTCAAGAGAGAGACGCACTCACGGACGGGAGAGAGGGGGCGCGACGGGACGAGGAAGAAACACGCTCACGCACGGGAGAGAGAGGGGTGCGACTTGCGGTGAAAACGGTACGGATAATTTCCGATCGTATTCGAGACCGAATCCGTTTAGAGGAGTTTAGATCTATCCGTATCCGAGTCCGGATATTCAACATCCGATACCGTATCCGTATCCGAATACTAAAATTGCATATTTATAATGTTGATAGCCAATCGTATCCTATCTGACGTAGCTGAAACTATCCGTATTCGAATCCGAATCCGAACCGAAATATGAAAACAAATGTATTATTGGTGATATCCGTTCGTACCCAATCTGTTTTCATCCGTAGGTGTGACGGGATGGGGATTGGGAAGATAACAACCGAAAGAAGGAAAGAAAAAAAAATAAAAAAATATATAATCTCACAAGTAGGCCCTATGTATTGGGAGAGATTATTGGGCTTCTGCTGTAGCATCTCCCTCGATAATTTGAAAAGTAATATTGGGCTTCCTCCATTATTATTGTGTTGGGGGAGTTGTATTGGGATGCTCTTACTGTCCCGTCCCCTCCCTGCAATTCCCAATTCCCCACTCCACACTCGCATCGCTAAACCCTCATGCGCCGGCGCCACCACCATCGCTAAAACCGAGCGAAGGGGACAAGAGAGAAGGTTCGCCATGTTATCCGCCTCCGGCCACAGCAAGCCGCATCTGCCTCCACCGTCTTCGCCGACAATGCGGGCGGGTACCATGACCTCAAGATCGACGGCTACTCCCACATCAAGGTGAGGTCGTTACCGGCGGCGGTAACGAGTTTTGGTAGCCGTACTGGTCGCCGGTCTTCAGGGTTACTCCACAGGAACACCTTGGACTACTATGTCAGCAAGCACGGCTCCCTCACGGTCCGCTGCGACATCGTCGTCTTCGATGAGTTCCTTGCCGAGGAGCCGGTCACTCGGACCACCTTCGTGTCCGTGCCCCCGTCCGACCTGCACCGGCACCTCGGCGACCTCCTCAAGACAGAGAAGGGCGCCGATGTGGTGTTCCAGGTCGGCCGGGAGACGTTCGCCGCTCACCGGTGCGTGCTCGCGGCCCGGTCCCGGTCTTCAGTGCTGAGCTCTTCGGCGCCATGAAGGAGAGCCGCACCCAGGCAGATGTCGTTCAAGTTGACGACATGGAGGTGCCGGTGTTCAAGGCTTTACTCTGGTTTTTGTACACCGACTCGTTGCCAGAGATGAGTAAGGAAGATGAAGATGCCATGTATCAGCACCTGCTTGCCGCGGCAGACAGGTATGACATGGAAAGGCTCAAGTTGATGTGTGAGGATAAGCTGTGCGAGTACATTGATGTGGTCAATTCCACCACCATCCTGACACTAGCTGAGCAGCACCACTGCCACGGACTGAAGAAAGCATGCTTCAGTTTTCTTAGCAATCCGGCAAATCTGAGGGCGGCAATGGCCAGTGATGGTTTCAAGCATCTAAGCAGAAGTTGCCCATCCATCGAGAAGGATCTGATGTCCATGCCCGAATCGTAGTCTAGTGAAGCTCAGTGTCTTCAACATTGACACTAAAAATCACCTCATGGTTTGTTATCAGGTAGCTATGCAGATGCACAAGCAGTAATCTCATCTTGTCTATGTTATGTTGGTTAATTGGACGGGTATATGGCCCAATGTTAGTAAGTTAAGTTGGAGGCCGGAATGTTATATTCGTTTATCTAAAAAAGGTTAGTAAGTTAACTCACTTCTACAGCTCTACCAACTGATTAGGATGGACTTTGTTATCAGGTAGCTATGATGATTGAATATTCACTAAGCATCTCTGGTTGTCTCATTTTTGTTGCATAGATTAGAATATGCTGGAAGTAGGGCACTAGGCATCTGTAACAAATGTTTTGTATTCAATCAGTTGCATTACATGGTTTGTGGCATTGGCGGTGCATTCATCAGGTAATTGTCCTCTTTTTTAGCAATGGTGATTCAGGCACGGTTTCTAGCTAGGATCAGGTAGTTCTCCATGGTTTGATAGTTCCACCAATTGATTCTGCAGTGTCTATGGTTGTTGCTTTGCAGTACTTTGGATGGAGCTAAATACCAAGTTGTTGTCTTGACGAGTGATGCTCAGTGTTCTAGCAATAGATGTTGGCTTGCTGCTTTGTTTTTTTACCTTCGTCGTCACTTGTTTTAGCAGAGCAATGGTTACATGTTTTCCAGACTTGTGGTATGAGGTATATGGCTACTTGCAGTCTAAGGAGCAATGGTTCCATCTCTATTTTGTCGCCCTGTTGCATATGTACAGCGTTACGAACTGATCAAGAACGAGTGACCTCGTGATCAGCTGTTTTGGTTATTTGAAATCTCCAGTTGGCCTGCAATTGTCGTACGTTTTTTTAACGGATGAGTTTTAAGTACTGTTCTCCTTGTGTGAACGCATGGCAGGGACAAGCGGCGTCGAAAAGGGCTCCCTGCCGTTGCACTGTAGCAGCTGCAGGGACAGGCGCCGAATAGCTCTCCTGTCGTACTGTAGCCACAGCAGAGGTATGTGTCAAAGTCAGTCCTGCTGTCACATCTAGTCACTATAGCAGCATGGCAGCCTGACATGTCTGTGTACTATGATTAGATGGGTAGCGTTGTATATATAGTTTGCCACTATAACTCAGTAAAGAGAGCGAGTTCAGTTTGTCATCTCATCTGCAGAGCTCCGGTCAACGCTGGTGCTTGTGCTGTGTGTGTGCTGTTCTCCCTCCCTTCGTCCACCTCTAGCCATAGTGTGTGGTCGGCAATGACAGTGCGTGGTCGACAATGGTGGTGAGTGGTCGACTCACCCGTGCCGGAGATCTCAGGGGCTAACAAGTGGTATCAGAGCCGTACAAGCGCCGTCGTCGGACTAACCGCTGGCGATGATGGATGGTTTGGAGATGGGCGATAGCAGCGGTGCTGTTGTGGCTACCTAGCCACGACAGGAGGTCGTTGTGCGCACGGTGCGAGAGGTCAGCGACACTAGTTGGCCGACGCTGACTCGCACCAACTATGAAGAGTGGTCGGTGACCATAAAGGTCAACCTCAGAGCCCGACGACTCTGGAATACTGTTGACAAGGGCACCGCCAACGAAGAAGACGACATGTCAGCGTTGGAGGTTATCCTCGCTGCTGTATCATCAAAGTACAGAGAGTCGTTGGGGGCGAAGAGCTCAGCTAAGGAGGCGTGGGAGACCATTACGGCGATACGCATCGGTTCCGACCGCGCATAGAAGGCGACGGCCTAGCTGCTGAAGTAGGAGTACGCCAACCTCAAGTTCAAGGATGGTGAATCGGTGGAGGACTTCTCCCTCCGTCTACAGACGCTCATCAGAAAGCTGAGGAGCCACGGCGTCACTATCGACGAAGAAGAGACGGTCTCCAAGTACTTTCACTCCATGCCGGTGAAGTATATCCAGATTGCTCTCTCTATAGAGACGATGCTGGATCTATCCACCCTCACCATTGAGGATGTGACTGGTCGGTTGTGGGCGATGGACAAGCGCCTAGAGCAGGCGACAGCAACGAAGGACAATGGCAAGCTGCTGCTGACAGAGGAGGAGTGGGCTGCCCGGAGGAACTCTGGGGAAGCCTCCTCCAGCCGTGGTGGCGATGGCAAGCGCCGCAGCAAGTCTTCTTCGGAGAAGAAGAAGAAGGTCGACCCCAACGCCTGCCGGCGCTGCGGGAAGACAGGCCATTGGGCAAAGGAGTGCCCAAATCGCAAGTAGGAGAAGAAGGCTGAGCCTCATCTGGCGCAGGCTAATGATGATGATGAGGCCACTCTCCTGATGGTGACGTTCTATGCACTACACAACGTTGAGGCCAAGGAAAAGGAAGAGGTGATGGCGGTGAAAGGGCCTAGGAAGGCTCTAAAAATTGTCTACCTCAACGAACTGTGCACCCAAGTCCACCTCGAACGTGTGGGCGGCGAGTAAAAACAGCGGTGGTACCTGGACTCTAGCGCCAGCAACCACATGACGGGCTCCAAGGCAGCCTTCTCCGAGCTCAACAACGACGTGACCGGCACGGTGAAGTTCGGTGACAGCTCAAGGGTGGAGATCCAAGGGCGCGGCACCATCATCTTTAGGTGCCAGAACGGCGAGCACCGCGTGCTAACGGATGTATATTACATCCCGTAGCTGCATTCAAGCATTATCAGCATTGGCTAGCTGGATGAGTGCGGTTGCAAGGTACTGATCAAGGATGGCGTTCTCAGGATTAGGGACCGAGAGCAGCATCTTTTTGCCAAGGTGAAGAGGTCCTAAAACCGGCTATACCTGCTCGACTTGAAGGTGGAGCAGACGGTGTGCCTGGCAGCACGGCACACCGAGGAGTCATGGCTGTGGCATGCCCGATTCGGCCATCTCAGCTTCGACGCGCTCGGTCGGCTGGAGAAGATGGTCCGAGGGCTGCCTCACATTGAGCACGCAGGTGAGCTGTGTGACAGCTGCCTGGCCAGGAAACAGAGGAGGCTACCGTTCCTAAAGGCGGCCAAGTATCACACGGCGGACGCTCTCGAGCTCGTCCACGGCGATCTCTGCGGGCCAATCACGCCGGCCACAAACGGTGGTCGACGGTACTTCCTCCTACGCGTGGATGATTGCAGTCGCTATATGTGGCTGCAACTCCTGACAAGCAAGGATGAGGCAGCGGCGGCAATCAAGAAGTTCAAGGCGCGCGGGGAGGCAGAGAGCGGCAAGAAGCTACGCGTGCTGAGGACTAATCGCGGAGGCGAATTCACTTTGGTGGAGTTCGTTGAGTACTGCGTGGATCAGGGTGTGGTGCGACACCACACCACGCCATACTCGCCACAGCAGAATGGCGTGGTGGAGCGGCGAAACCAGACGGTGGTCGGTATGGCTCAATCCATGATGAAGGCCAACAGCATGTCGGCAAGGTTCTGGGGTGAAGCGGTGACCACGGTGGTGTTCATCCTTAACCGCGCACCCACCAAGGCCCTAAAAGGCAAGATGTCGTTCGAAGCTTGGTATGGACGCAAGTCGAGTGTGTCCTTCCTTTGGACATTCGGCTGCATCGGCCACGTCAGGAAGACGAAGCCGGTCCTCACCAAGCTAGAGGACAGGAGCACACTGATGGTGCTCCTAGGCTACGCGGAAGGTAACAAGGCGTACCGACTCTACGACCCACACGGAGGCAAGGTGCTTGTCTCGCGCGACATCATGTTCGACGAGAAGGTGGCCTAGGACTAGAACAGTTCGGGCACGGGGGAAGCTGGCGGCTTCACCAGCACCTTCATCGTCGAGCACTTGGTCATCCACGGTGGGAGAGATGCTGGAGATGAGGTGACGACCACTCCAGCAATAGAGCCAAGCACTCTTGGGACGGTGTCGAGCACTCCAGGAGGGGTGTCGAGCACTCCGGGAGGTGTGTTGAGCACTCTAAGAGTGATGCCGAGAGGTCCAGCTAGTGGTGTCGACCACTTCAGGACGGGTGCCGAACACTCCCGTAGCAGAGCCAAGAAGTCTTGCAGTGGTGCTGACCACTCCAACACTGGGGCTGAGCACTCCTACAGTGGTGCCGAACACTCCAAGAGTGGTGACGAGAGGTCTAGGAGTAGTGCCGAGCACTGCAGCCAGGGTGCCGAGCACTCCAGGTGCCGTGCAAACCACTCTGGCGGAACAGGAAACTCCATCGACGCCGATCGAGTTCGCCTCACCTCCAAGCGACATCATTGAGTTCGTGGATGCCTTTCACGATGGTGAGGAGGTGTGGTTCCGCAGGCTGGACGACATCGTCGGCGGCACAGGGCCCTCAGGGCTGGCGGGTCAGCTGCTCAATGACCCAGAGCTGCTTCTCGTCAGTGCAGAGGAACCACGCACGTTCGCACTGGCTAAGCACAATGCAAACTAGCGACGGGCGATGCTGGAAGAGATGAAGGCGATCGAGGAAAATGAGACTTGGGAGCTCATCGATCCATCTCTAGGATGTCGTCCGATCGGCCTGAAGTGGGTGTACAAGGTCAAGCGGGACGAGCACGGCGCCATTGTCAAGCACAAGGCACGCCTCGTCGTCCGAGGCTTTGTTTAGCGTGAGGGCAATGACTTCGAGGAAGTCTTTGCGCCGGTAGCGCGCATGGAGTCTGTCCGACTGCTTCTGGCTTTGGCAACAGCAAAGGACTAGCGCGTCCATCACCTTGACGTAAAATTGGCCTTCCTCAACGGTGAGCTAGCGGAGACAGTCTTCGTCAGGCAACCTCCATGTTTCGCCGTCAAGGGAGCGGAGCACATGGTGCTCCGACTACGCAAGGTGCTCTACGGGCTGCGGCAGGCCCCACGAGCGCGGAACGTCAAGCTTGACGCCACGCTAGGCGAGCTTGGGTTCACGAGGTGCGCAACCGAGCACGCGCTCTACACATGGCAACGGGGGAAGGAGGAGCTCATCGTCGGCATGTATGTGGACGACTTGGTCGTCACCGGCGCGCGTGCAGAGGACATCGACAGCTTCAAGCGCGAGATGGTGCCTCGTTTTTGAATGAGCGATCTCGGCGCGTTCTCCTA